TGTATGTATGCAGGTAAGTATGTACGTACGTACATACTTATGTATGTATGTAAGCATGCATGTATGTACCGATGTAGTGTATGTGTTGATTTGAATTGTCTTGCAGTGTAGTCTATGTGCGTATGCAACAATGTATACTATATCGACAGATGGACAGATAAGGCAGGTACGTAGACGGATACATGGATAGGTGGCGCATGTATAGATACATGGATAGATACATAGACAGACAGGATGGATAGAAACATAGATAGACAGAAAGATGGATAGGCAGACAGATAGATAGACAGACAAACACGTTGATTGATTGGTAGAGTAACCTGCTACAGAACAGGCAGGGAGCATTTGAAGGTGTCTCGGTTCAACTTCTGCAGCAGCGCACCGCCACTTCCGAAGACCATGTTGTCTGCAGCCTGAAATGTCGGCGACAGTGGTGGCAGCACCCAGACGATTCTTACCCGAGGTAGCGCATCTTTAGAAGTTCGAGTTCGCCCAGCCGGTCGCTTCTGCAAAGAATGCAAAGCAAGGAACAAAGCCAGCATTCTTCAGCGACTTCCTCGGCAGCAGGACTTGACACTCACCTCTCTTGTCGAACCAGGGTCTGATTTCGTGCAACCAACCCATGCCCATGAAGGACGCCACAGAAAGCAAAGCGAGCTGTGCGCCAAGCAGGATCTTCGGGATCGACTCGTAGTCGACGCCTGGGCTAGACTTCGCACTCCCCGGAACTCCCTGAAGCCCATAACAAGTTGCAGCTACTGGCCTGAACCTGCACAAAGACTTGCTGATATTTTTCCAGGCTGAACCGGCTTGACTTGCCCTAAGCCACCAGGTACCTACTATATTACTATATAGGGCCCTAGGGGCTCTAGTACCCTGTATAGTAGGTACCTGAAAGGTTAGGGTTGGTCATGACCCCGAGAAGTTCCGAGGCCCCTGCCATCACCCTGAATCACGCGGATGTACGCGGGCAGCAGTTTGTGACCTGTCTTCGTGGTGGTCACCTCAGGAAGCGACGCGCTGCTCTCGAAAAGGAGGGCTTAGGGCTTAGGCTTTGCCTTAACCCGACCTAAACCCTAAACCCTACCGGCCTTCTTATGCACTTATATCCGGAACTCATGAAAAGGACCGCCCTAGGGTTGAGGCGCGGCAGCTGCTTCTCTCTGAGTCCGAGCCGCGTCTTCCTTGAACTGCTCGCACCTGGGGATGTGGTCGGAAATCGGGGTTCCCCAAGTTTAGGGTTTTAGGGTTGTGCTGGGCTCTGCTTATGGAAGTAAATCCCAAAGGGTCCATATACATAGATGAGTTAGCACCC